TATTAAATTTTTACTTCTTCAATTTCATTGACCAATATTGGATTATTCAGGATTTTCATATTTTCTTGGTTTTTGGTTCTACTTTGGTAGTTGATATGTATCTAGGAATCTATTCATTTCTCCTAAATTTTCCATTTTATGAGACTAGTTTCTCTAAGTAGTTATCAGTGATGTTCAGGATTATAGCAGAATCTGTAGTGGTTTGTCTTTTTTAAAACATTATTTTTTGAGACAGTCTTGCTGTGTGACTCAGGCTGGCCTTGAACTCACGGACTGGCCTCAGAATCCTGCCAATGCTCCTGCCTCAAGCTCCAGAGTGCTGGGATTTCAGGCATGCACTAACCACACCCGGTTTAAACACTGTTTGTTTCGTCTTTTTGAGACAGTTTCACTATGCAGTTCAGGCTGGCTTCCAACTCACAGCGATCCTCCTGCCTCAGCCCCTCAGCCTGCTGGGATAAGCTCTGCTCTTGAGGATGGATGAAGAGAGCAGGAGCTGAGGGCATCAGCGCCTCTGCAAGCTGGGAAGGGAGTGGGGACAGAGAGCCGCCTCTAGGAAACTCCTGAGGCGCAGTGTTGCCCAGGGTGAACTTGAGGAATACCGTGCTGTAATGTAATAAACCTGTGTCATGTAAAGCACTGTGGCAGTTCTCATAGGCTGCTTTAACACATTGCCATAAAGTTGATGGTCTAAAACAACTCTCAAAACTGGAGGCCAAAAGGCCAAAAGTCAAGGTGTTGGTAGGGTGGGGCCCCCAGCGAGGTCTGCAGATTTCCTCCTCGCCTCTCCAGTCCTGGTGGCCTTTGCTTTCTGGGCCTGGGGCCTGGTCTGCAGCCCTCTGCCTCTCCTGTGAGGACAGTGTTACCTGCTAGGACCGCCTAGTGTGATCCGTCCCAGGAATTTGTGTCCACAAAGGCTGGTTTTAGCCCAGACGGGGCTTCTCCCCTAACCAGCTCCAGCAGCTGAGATGAAACACTGAACCGGTGAGGGCTGGCGCTGGAACCCAGGACGCAGGCGTCAGCAGGCTCTCTGCGGCCCACAGGAAGCAAGGGGCCAGGGCCCTCTGGGTCACGATTTTGGATGAGGCACTGATCTCACGCTTGAGGCTCCGCCTGTGTGGCTCTGTCCCTTCCCAAGGCCTGGCTTCCCAGCACCATCCCCTCCACGTCAGATTCCGCCAGGCAGGCGGAGGGACGCGGGGCTGGGAGAGTCCGTGCTTCAGGCCCTCAGAGCAGAGTCAGGGCTCCCCGCGAACACCTTCTGCGGGAGCTTTCTGCAGGCTAGGGGGGCACTGTCTGCAGGCACTGTGTCCCTGGTGGACGCCTCCTGTGGGACACAGCTTTAGCCTAGCCCAGGAGCGAGGGCCCCTCTCTGTCGCGGCTGTTGTGCAGACCCCAGGTTCCCAGCCCTGCGGCTCACAGGCCAGTTCCTGTAACACCTCCCTGCCATAAACCTCCGATGACGGGGAAGCCCCTAAGTCCCCAGGAATGTTCTGCACCTCCCTCTTCAGGCTGCCTTAGGCCCCTTCCGGTCCTGTCAACACTTCTGCTTCCTTCCCATGGGCTGTGTCGTTTAACGTAGCCCTTCACGCCATAGAGCCATACAGGCCGGGGGAGTGTGGCGTTCTGTGGCACCGGGAATGAACCCCAGGCACTGTCACCAGACCCATCCCAGCCCTTTTTCACTTTCTTATGTTTGAGACACTAAGTCCCTAAGGTGCCCAGGCTGGGCTCAAACTTGGATCCTCCCGCCTCAGCTTCCCAGAGTGATGAGGTGAAGTGTATTCTGTTTCACTCAGCATGTTATTTTGTGTTTGGAGACATGCATAGTAATTCTGAGGTTCACCCACTGTATTTGTTACCCCACTAAACTGCCAGGCTAACCTCAAACTCCTGACCCTCCCTCCCCACCTCCGAGTCCTCTGTACTGTACCTGGATTGACAGGTATGCACCGTCAAGCCTGGCTCGATTTCTTTTTCTTTTTTTGTTTGTTTGGTACCAGGAATTGAACTCATGACCTCACACTTGCCAGGCAGGTGCTTATGCCACTGAGCTAAATCCTGGGCCTGTTTTGTTTTGTTTTTTGAGACAAAGTCTCACTATTTAGTATGTCACCCAGGCTGGTCTCAAACTTGCAGGAATCCTCCTGTCTCAGCCTCCAGAGTACAGATTACAGATGTATGCCACCATGCCCAGCTCAAATGTTTATTTTTAATTGTGGTAAAGTACATAGAAAAATCACCATCTCAACCATTTTAAGTGCACAGTTCAATAGTTATAGGCACACTCACATTTCTGTGCAACCAAGCTCAAGAATACTTTTTTATTTATTTATTTATTTTTTGGTAAGGTGAAAATACTTATTTTTTATTTGATAAACTCTTCTACAAAAAAAAAACAAACCAGGTCATTTTTAAATTTAACAGATAATCATGGCTGGTCCTTGTTTGTTACACCATCACACTGTTTCGATCTCAAACCACCCTAAAAGGTACATTCTGCTTCCTTTTCAAGACAGGGAAGCAGACTCTTGAGGGTACTTAAAATGAGCAGTCCACAAAGTAGGGGTGCAGATAGCATTGGGGTAGGTCTCACTAAAACTTCATCGTTAAAAAAAAAAAAAAGCGGGGCCTGGCAGTACATGCTTGTAACCTCAGCACTCCGGAGGCTGGTGCAGGAGGATCACTGAGAGTCTGAGGCCAGCCTGGGCTACATACCGAGGCCCTGACTCAAAAAAAAAAAAAAAAAAAAAAGAAAAGAAAAAGGAAAAAATCTCTAAAACAAAATAAAAAAATTCTTCTAAGTCAGGCATGGTAGCACCTACCTATAATTCCAGTATTCAGGAGGCTCAGACAGGAGATCACCGCAAGTTTGAGGACAGCCTAAGAAACTACACAATGAGACCCTGTCTCAAAAAACAGAAACGGAAACAAACCAACCCAAGCCCTTTCTCCTTTTATGTGTAGTAACTGCTGTTTATATATAGATTTCCTCCCCGACCTCACGCACTCAAGCAGAGCTTTCTGGAGTGGGTTAGTGTGAGCCTGGGAGGTGACGCCTGATTGGAGGGGAAGGGCCAGGGGGCGTGGCCGGAGGGCTCACCCCCCCCCACTTCCGGCATCCCTGCATCCCTGCATCCCTGCATCCCTTTCCTGATCCGCTTCCCCTCTGCCCTGCCGCCCTGCCCCAGCCAAGCCTCTCCAGTGAGCCGCTCCTCCGCAGAGCTGTGGGCGTTGGGAATTGTGTCTTGGTGGTGGGCAAGTAAGACACCTGCTGTTTGGAGAATATTTGGAAATCTGGTGGGAAGGAGACCAAGCCAAGCTCCTGCCTCTCGGTGATGGCCCGACCAACGTTTGGCCACACCTATTCCAGCCTTTTGGCTGCCTATGATTAAAAGCATGAACATGTGCCTTATCAAAGTGAATGTATCAATATTTTAAAAATTAGTGTATCTTCCTGTTTTAAAATGAAAGCATACATATACAAAATTCAGGAAGCACTAAAATGTGTAAACAAGATTAAAGTCATTTTGAGTTAAAAACAACCAGTTAGTAGTTTTTTTTTTTTTTTTGGTACCAGAAGTCGAACTCAGGACCTTGTGCCTGCTGAGCGCTGAGCTGTATCCCCGGCCTCGGGGCAGCACTTTAAAATGCTCCCTTACTGTTTTTCTATCAGCTTGCTTTTTATACATTTAATCTTATACAAGATTTTCAAGTGCAGTTAGCAAAAGTTGCAACGTATAATGACAAAGAAGGTCCTGGTGACAGTATTTGCTACAAATTAAAGAGGCAAAAAAGATCCCTAAATGCTCCCTGTCCACTCACGTTTAAGGCCTGTGTTAAATTTTCTACTCATATGACCATGTCTGTGACACGGCCGTGGATGGCTGTGTCTATGTGTTTTGCACCCATGTGAACCTACATCATTTACACAGAACTGGCTACACACTCTCAACAGCTGAGTTTAATTAAATGCTTTTCACATCTCATGAAGAACAGCACATGCTGTACCATATTCTGCACATTTATATGAATGTGAAGAGCTTTATATAAAAGAGCTTCAGCAGGCAAATCAGGAAAGACTGATACTGGTTGGTGTACAGAAGCTCTAATTGGCGCAATAGACTTGGTCTTAGATTATTAAAGTTCCAAAGAATTCATAACCAAAACAAAAAACTCACTTGTGTGTAAACTACTAAACCCCACCCAGCTGCTGGGCAAAGCATCAGCGTGAGTTCAAACAGCAAGCAGGTGTGACTCCAGACAGAAGGGGCTGTGCTCCCTCTTCCTCCTGTCAGTCACCACACACTGAAGGCCGCCATCACAGGAATCCCAGCTTCACGGTGGTCAGAGGTGTCTTCCCGCTGTACAGTCCTGTTTTGCTGCTTCTGTTGGTGTCGAAGCTGACCTGGCGTCACCTTTAGCCCACCCATGCAGCCCAGGTCTCCGTACGCTCACTGAGCACCACGGTGGCAGATCTGCCTGAGGCTGGAAACCAGCACCCCTCCAGGTAGGTTTGCAGCCTCCAGTAATGTCTGACTGGTCGGACATCTCTGCCGTCCGTTAAGGTCCACTTACCCATCCTGACCAGCTATGCATCGAAGTAGCCATAAGGCACATCTTGAGTTTGTCCAGGAAAAGTGGGCTATCCTGGGCCTCACCGTACCCCTCGGGGGGTACCTGACCCCTCTCCCTGCCCACCCAAGCATGCTCCTTGTGTAACTATTTCATGACTGGAACTGTGTACCTATTTAACAGTCCTCCTTGGCAGGCCCATGGCAACCACCATTCTAGCCTGTCTGTGAATTTGACCTCTCTGGTGTCTCCTGTGAGGGATCTGACAGTGCACGTTTCTCTTTCATGAATGACTCATCTTACTTGGATCATGATCTCAAGGTTCATCTAGGTAGCATGCATCAGAACTGTCTTTCAGTCTTGTAAGGGTTATCACTGGCTTGCTTCAGTGATAACAGAAATTAAAACTGAGACAACAGCACAAATTTATAGGCAAAAGCTTTAATTAAAAAGTAAGAAAATGAAGCTGGGCATAGTGGCACATGCTTGTAATCCCAGTACTCGGGAGGCTGAGGCAGGAGCATTGCTGTGAGTTCGAGACCAGCCTGGGCTGTAAAGTGAGCCCAAGGCCAGCCTGAACTGCATGGTGAAGCCCTGTCTCAAAAAGGCAAAAAAAAAGGAAAGGGAACTTGGCTGTTCTGATGGGGTGAGGCTGGGCCTTCACAAAGGGAGGTAAGAAGGTAAGGTGTGACTTCAGCCTGAGGCGCCAAAGGGAGGTCACTCGGCCCCTTCCAGAAGGAAATAGCACTGGGGGCCGCCGAGGCAGGCTCAGGTGTGGCTGAGGGTCCTCTCAGCGCGGTTCACAGCTCTGGAGAAACCCATCTCCCGGCCCGATGACACTTGGGTCCCAGGGGTGGCTGCTGCACCTAGGAGAGGCAGCCTGGGTGCAGCGGGGCTCTGTTGGAAATCCAAGGTGACCACAGACCTGGGGCAATGACCGCAGACCCTTGGGTGCTCGCTCCAGGGGTTAAAAGCCAGCCGGTCTTCATGAGAGGTTGGGTGGGTGACAGCTAGTAAACCTTACAATTAATGCTCCCTGTCCCCCGAGTCGCAAGGCAGTAAAGAGAGAAATGCAAAGCCAAGGCAGGGCCAGCTCGCTCCTGCTGCAGTCGCCCCTGCACGTCTGTGGGCACCGAGGAGGTCACTGCTTCAGCAAAAGCCGCTGTAAGTCCCTGAGTGCCTCAGAAGAAAACACGAAACGCGTTTTAATGGGCAACAGGTTAAGGGCCAGGTTTGTCCTCTGCTGCTCAGTGATGATCTGCAGTTTCACTTTCCACCCAGCTTGTTTTTGGAGACACCAGGGGAGCCCTCTGGGCTTTGAGTGTGGTAAGATGGGGCAGGGCAGGGTGGGGGTAGATAGCAGTGTGAGCCTCGAGTTCAGTGGGCGACAGATTCTGAGTTAGGGGCCCAGGAGCACGCCTGACTTCTGTCCTGGAGGCCTCTCAGCTCTGTGACATTGCTTCCTACAGGCCACATTTTCTTTGTGCATTGCTCTGTGGACTCTTCTTTTCCCCTTGGTTAACTTCTCTCATTACTGTTTTGTTTAAAGAAGTGCTTTCTCTGTTCTTAAAAGATGCACAGGAGATAATGGCCAGCCGCTTTGGAAACCACCACTGCACAGACACCCCGGCCCCTGTGCTCCCCATTGCCTAATGACGTTTTCAGTGACCTCTCTCCCCACACAAGATTTCTGACAGATTACTGTCTTGGTAGGTCTTGTTCTCACTCAACCATACCATGAGGTATTAGTTTGCCAAAAGCAGAGGTTATTTAATCCAAATTCTTGGTCACCAGCATATCCGGTATGTATCTATTAGTTTCTTTTGAGACAGTCTTGCTGTGCAGGTCAAGCTGGCCTTGAACTCACCATGCAGCCCAGGCTGGCCTCGAACGATGGGCAATGTCTTCGGATTCTTGATTGGCTTCCACACTTCAGCCACCCTGAGTGATATGTAAACATGGGTCTCATCAAGACCCTGCTGCAGTTCTGAGTATGTAAACAGAAGTAGAACAGCTGGGTCATGAGTCTACTTTGTATTTTTAAAGGAATTACATTTTCCCCATAGAAGTGGGATCATTTATGGTCTCATCAATAGTGTGTGAAGGTTTGTTTGTCCACATCCTCACGACACAAATTCTGTGGTTCTCTGATAGCAGCCAGGGTGTGGGTTGCTATCTTCTTGTTTTGGTTTCTTGTTGCTGAGACAAAATACCTGGACCTCCAGAGGGAAAGGAGGAAAGGTTTACTTAGCCCTTCAGTGTGTAGAGGCTTCAGTCCGAAGTCAGCTGGCTCCAAGGCAGGGTGGCACATGGGACTAATTCAGTAATATCCACGCTTGGTCCTAGCACCTTAATCCCATCACTGCACCATGAATCAATCATGAATCAGCCACCTCTGAAAAGCCCCACTTATGACTGCATGAGGCTTTGGGGTGACAACTAGACACAAATCAAAGCATTCTGCCCCTGAGCCCCAAAGACTCATGTACATTCCTTTATGTAAAAGGCATTCATTCTGGGAGCTGGAGATGTGGCTCAGTGGTAGAGTTCTTGCCTGGCATGCATAAGGCTCTGGGTTCAATCTCTAGCACCACAAAAACAAACAAACAAAAAACAACAACAAAAACCGAACAGCATTTAGTCCATCTGTAAGAGTTGCCCAAGTCCTAACAGTTTCAGCATTCCTGGCAAGTCCAAGTCCCAAGTCTCCTCTGAGATGTAAGGCGAGCGCTCAGCTGTAAATTCCTGTCGAAATAAAAGGAGAATTAAACACTTCCAGCACACAATGCACAATAAACATCTTCATTCCTAAAGGTATAAATGGGACACAAAGGAATGGAACCAAAGCAAGTTCCAACTCCAGCAGGGCAAACACTAAGTCCTCCACTTCCACAGTTGGCATCTGAAGCCATCCGTGGCAAGCAGCAAACTCCAGCGGGCTTGGGCACTGCTGGTGGTGGCAGCTCCCCGGTTTCTCTCTTGGGCCCGCTCTGCTCCCTCCTTGCAGTTTTCCTCAGATGATCCACGTTCCTGGCTTCTCCAAACCTCTGGGGACCCCACTGCACCTCTGGCCTCACACTCATGGCTTAACACACTGCCCTCTCGGGGCACATGGCCTCGATTCTGAAGTCTGGGTGCAAGCCTTGCACAGTTCTTGCATCCTGCATGCACCTAAAGCCAGCACTCTGTGAATGATGCCAGGGTCTGCTGCCAGTTGGAGCAGTAGCCAGGCTTCCCTCTCTGTAGGTGTAGAGGTCCAGTGCCTGTGAACCAAATTCTGAGGAAGAGCTCCCCTAGGCCACTACCATTCTGGAACATGGAGCTCTCTGGCTTTTTTCTCAAAGCAAAGTCTTTCATTTTTGCAGTTTTGAGGCTGCAAAGGATGGAGTCCTGCTGCTTCTTGTGATGCTCCCAGGCTATCTTTCCTATTCTCCTGTTCCTTCTCAGCAGTCAAGTCCTCCTCTGCTGTATCTGTGCAGTCCACAGCTTTACTGGAGCTTCCTTTCTGGCCAAACTCACAATGTTTAAATCATTCTGCTGGGTTCTTTGCTCTTGATTCTCAACATAAATCTGGTTAAAAGCCCCCAATAGTAGAGTAGCTGTGCCACCACCTCAACATTTGACTTCCTTGAAATTTCTTCTCCCAAATTAATCAGTCTGCTGCCCTTAATCTCAGTCTCAGGCAAAATCTCTGGACATGAGCAAAATGCAAACTTTGTGCCCAGCCATAACACACATTATCTGGAGTCCAGCACTCAGTGCAGTCCCTCCCAGCAGAAACCTCCCAAGTCTGGTCTTTCCAGCAGGCTTTCTATCCGCCTTCTGGTCCTCTGAGGTCTGACCAGAATCTCCTCTACAGAGCCGCCTAAGGCATTCCAGGGCTCCTCTTTCAGGTGACATCTCTGAACCTTTTCAGCCTCTTCCCACAGCCATTTTCAAAGGCTGCTGAACCACATGGTCAGGCACAGTCACTGCAGTGACCCCACTCCTGTTCCCAAGTTCCCGTCTGGTTACTTTCCTTTCATTACTGGGACAAAATACCTGTCACCCAAAATGAGAGAAGACCCATTTTTTTTTTTTTTTAAGAAAAGACTTATTTAGCTTACAATTTTTGGAGGTCTTAGCTCCAACACAGGGTGCCCCATGGCAGAGGGCCTACAGTTCACGGTGGTCAGGAGGCAGCAAACCAACAGAAAGGAGACTTTCTGTCCCTTGCATGGTACCGTCTTACTCTGTGGGCTGATCTAGTAGTCACCCACACTGAACCTGGCACCCTTAATTCTTGCATCGCACCCTCTAGATTCAGCCACCTCTAAAAAGCTCCACCTGTGACCGCATGGGCCCTGAGGGGACACTGAGGCAGAGCCCTAATGCTTACTGTAGTTTTTTCTTTTTGCTGAGTAGTACACTATTGTGTGAAGACTTTGCTTTCCATTCTCTGACGCTGCTTTGTGTTATTTTTAGCCTTTTGCTGTTATGAATAGAATAGTAAGAATATTGTGTATAAGTCTTTATGCAGAGACTGGTTTTCACTTTTTTTCGTGTTTTTGAGACAATGTCTCCCTGTAATTCATGAGGCTGCAAACTCACAGGGATGCTCTTCCCTCAGCCTCCTGCGTGCTGGGATTACAGGCGTGCACCGGCACACCCACCTGGTTTTCACCTCTGTAGGGTGAGTGCCTAGGAACACAGTCACTGTGTCACGGGATACACGGATCTTTAACTTTGGAAGAGACTGCCCGCCTGCTTCCTGCCTCCCAGCCACGAGCTGGTTCCCCTCTGCCTCGCCACTTGCCGTGGGCCAGCCAACTGGGGGCTAAAACCCTACAAATTAGGAGCCCAAATAAACCTTTCCTCCTTTAAAACGAGACAGACAGCGACTGCCGAGTTTCTTCCTGCAGTGATTAAAGTCTTGTGCCTTGTCCCCATTGGGTTGCCATCCTTTATTTACTTTGGGGTGTTCTTTGTATATTCTGGGTGCCCCTTTCTCGTCAGCCCTCTGTGCTACAGTCCTGTCTGTGCCTTCGCCTGCCACTGTCTCCTCGGTAGCCCAGGCTGGCCCCTAACTCACCATTCTCCTGCTTTGGCTCCCTGGGTGCTGGGTTAGCACTGTTTTGTAGAAGTTTTAAGTTTTTAATCAAGTCCATTTATCACTTTTTCCCTAAAGATACTAACTCCTTTTGTGTTCTAAAAACTCTTGGTCTACTGTACTCCAAGGCTGTAAAATGATTGTTTTTTTTCTAGATTCCTTGTATCTTTAGCTTTCAAATTTAAGTCTGCGATGCTCATCAAGTCGATTTTTGTGTATGGTGTGTTTGCAGGAGCGAGACTCAGTCCATCCACCTTGCCGTGCGGTTAGTTAGTTCAGCGTCATTAGGAAAACTGCTTTTAACACAAATTCCTCTCACATCTTTATTACGAAACAATTGGCCGTGGAGGAGGATTTGTTACTCTTCTGTTCCATTCATTTCTTTGTGTACCCTCATGTCAAAACCCTCTATTTTAATCACTGTGGCTTTGTAAGATGACTTTTCTGTTTACATGGTTGCTCGAGCTCACCAGTGAAGCTATGTAGACTTGAGGTTTTTGTTTGTGGAAAGGTTTTTAATTATAGCTCCATTTTTTTCTTTACCCAATATGGAACTACTTAGATTTTTTATGCTTTCTTGGTATAAAGCATGCAAGGCGTATACTACTACTGAGCTCTACTCCTCGCCCCTTCTAGTATTTTTTCTTGTTGGTTTTGGAGAGTAATGCATTTAAGAAATCGATCTATTTCCTCTAAAGCATTAAATTTATTGCCACAAAAATTTTCATGTAATCTCTTTAATGACCTTTATTTTCTGTAAAAAACTATTGGTTTTCCTGCTTTTGATATTGGTGATTTGTTTTCTAAAATCACACTTACTTGAATATAACAACTTTATTACTTTTTTTAAAAAGCCAGCGTTTAGGGGTTTTCTAGGTTAATCATCTGTTTTTCACTTTATTGATTTTTGTTTTTTGCTACCTTCTTTGGATTTAATTTGCTGTTATTTTTCTAGCTTTATTAAAGTAGAACTTTAGATTGACTTTACTATACATTCTACATATATAAATGTTTCCAATAGCTGCATCTTCCAAATTTAAGGTACTTTTCATTATTGTTAAGTTCAACGTGTCTTTCAACTTCCATTATGCCTTTTATTTTATTGTAAAGGAAGGGATATTTAGAAGTATGCTGCCTACCTCTCAACTGTTGGGGAATTTAAAAATTTTTCTTTTGGGGCTGAGGATTTAGCTCCGCGGCATAAGCGCCTGCCTTATAAGCAGGCAGTCGTGAGTTCGATCCCCGGTACCGATAAAATGGAAAAAGACAAAAAAAAAAATTATCTTTTTTGTTCTTAGTTTCTGTTTGAATGTTGTGGTTAATCAAAGAAGATTCTTTACAATTTCAATCACTTGAAATTGAGCGACACTGGTTTACTTGCAGCTTGTAGTGTTATGAGTGTAAGTGTACATCTGAGAACCACCTTCCCTCAGCAACAGCTTTCAGAAAGTGAAAACGTTTCGTTACACACAGTGTGTTCTCTATCCTGTTTTGTAGGAATAATGTTTAGGTCAAACTGGTTTTTCTTTTTTTTTTAATTTTTAATGCTCTATGTTTGTGATCCATAACAACATTCGTCTTCAGGACCTGGCACACATCCTGCCCACTTTGTTACCATTCTTTGGTCCCTTCCTCTCCTTGGCACCCCTCACCTGCTTTCTGGGATCCCCTCCTTCACAAAGTCTATCGCCTCGTTTCTTCTTATTTTACTTTAAAATTATTTGTATTTTGGGTTTCTCATAAAAGGAATATTTAACTTTCTATTCTGATTTATTCTACTTAGCATTAAAGTCTCAACATCCATTTGTTTTCCTATAAATGACTTACGTTTAGCTTAATTTTATCTTTTTTTCTTTTTATCTTTTTGAGACAGAGTTTCGCTATATAGTTCCGTCTGGCCTTGAACTCAATTTGTAGCCCAGGCTGGTCTGGAAATCACCGTGACCCTCCTGCCTCAGCCTCCAGAGTGCTGGGATTGTAGTGTGTCCACCACTACCACCATCACACCTGACCAAGTTTCTCTTTCTTTATGCCTGGGTAGTTGTGCATTTTAATTGCTTTTTAAATTATTCTTTACTTATTTTTGTGTTGGCCTGTCCTGTACATCACAGCTAGAAATGTGTGGGACCCTTTAACTGTATGTATTTTCCTATTCTGTTAATTCAATCCTTTCCTTTGGAGCCATTGAAGCTGAATACATGTGCGGGCCCAGGCACCGCTGAACTGAGAACCAGGGGACCTCAGGGGGCAAATTAGGCCATAGCTGAGGCCACCTGGACACTTTCTGGATAGTTTTCCTTAATTAGCATCATCTGTTGCTCTGAGGGGTCCATGAACCCCTCTCAAGATCCTGCCTAGGTTTCCTGCATTTTCCACTCAACTCCTTGCTGTTCTGATTAAATACGGGGTGCACAAGGTCAGTCGGTCAGCCGGCCAGCAGAGTTATGTTTGCTGCAGAGGATTTTAGTCCTCCTGGGGCCCTAAGGATCTCTTTAGGGGCCCTGCTTGTCTCCTTCCTTTGGGCCTTTGCCATGTACCCATTTGGGAGACTGGGTGTTGAGGCACAGACCCCAACACTTCTCCAAGTATTTCAAAGCTTATCTGATAGATATCCATTACTTTTTTCTTAATGAGTCAACCCATTTTATCATGTTCCCCTTTTCAGTGGTATGCTTTGAAGTCTACTTTCACGTTAACATAACCACTTCAACTACCTCTGATTAATGGGTGCGTGACAGTACATTTTCCTTGCTTGCTCGGTGCACATTTATTTGTGTGTTAAGGCAAGATCCAGGCTGGTCTTGAAGTTGAGATCCTTCTGCCTCGGACTCTGGAATGCTAGGTAGGCACATGGATAGCACAGCTTGGTGGGGGTTTTTTTGGGTTTTTTTTGGGTCCGGGTGTCACTAGGCAGCCCAGGTTGGCTTTGAACTCAGATCCTCTTGCTGCAGCCTCAGCAGCGCTGGGATCACAGTGCCACCTCGGCGGGCTAACACCAATTGTTTTTATCCAGTGTGACAATCTGTTAATCATAGTGTTTAATGAACTGCGTTTGATGAAATCACTACTACAGTCGGATTTAAATCTAAAGCGCTTTGTTTCTATTTGTTCCACCCCTTTTTGTTCCTTTCTTTTGGATTGCGCGTAGTTTAGTCTTCTTGCAATTTCTTTTTTCTTTTTGCAATTTTAGCTATACTTTTTTGTGAATCTCTCTAGGATTGCAATATTTTAAATCACCAATTCTATCCAATTTAAAGTTATCAATCGTGTTTTATCCCACCATCCACAATGTGAAAAGCCCATCAGTTCCGCAGAGGAAAACGGCAACCCGTGCCCGAGACGCGTGAGTGGGACGTGCCGCGGGGCAGCAGCGTGGCGGGCCCGCGACGACTCGGGAAAGCGGCCCCGGGAACCCCGCGCGGCCGGCCTCGCGCGTCGATCCTCCCTCCGCTGCGGCCTTTGTCTCTCCCCAGCGGGTCGCGGCGTGACCCCGCGGCCCTCGCACTGCCGCGGCCACACTGCGGCACCCACCGCGCGGCTTCCCGGAGCGGGCGGACCTCCTGCCGCGCCGACTGCCGGCCGCTCGCGGCGCCCACGGGGAGGAGCCCTCGCCGGCTGCGGCTCTGCGGGCCGCGTTGGGACCGGCCGGCGCCCCGACCCGCCCGCCCTGCGCGGCGGCCCTCACCTGCTCCGGGCCGCGCACCTGGCCGCGTCCGCCGGCCGCCGTGGGTGCGGCTCCCGGGCGGGTCCCGCCGAGCCCAGCGCCTCCGCCGAGGGGACGCGGAGGGAGGGGCGCCGGGAGGAAGGGGCCGGCCGGGAGCGGCGCCGGGAGGAAGGGGCGGAGGCCGCTGCGCGCGTTCCGGCCCGCCCGGTGACTCACCGCGGACCGGCCCGGACCCGCCGCCGCGCAGGTGAGCAGCGCGCCCACGGCGCCCGCGCGTGGACTCGGGGCGGGGGTCCCGGCCCAGCGCGGCGGCCGCGACCTCAGCCCCGCGCGGCCTCCCGGGCTCCCCGGCCTGCGCCCGGTCCCGGCGCCGGCTCCGGATCCCGATCCCGGCCCTGCGCCGCCGCCCCGCTCTCCCGGGCCCGAGCCCCGGCCCGAGTCCTGGGCCCCCGGCCGTGTCGCGCGAAGCCCTGGCCCCGTGGCGTGGTCCCGGGCACTCGGACCCCCGAGTTTCCGGCCCCCGCGGCCCAGGACCCCTGCCGGCTCCGCCCGGCCCCGACCTCGGACCCCGGCCCGGCCCGCGCGCGGCACAGCCGAGCGGAGGGGGCGCGTGCGGACCGCCCGCATTGTTGGGAAGTGGGGAGCGGGCGGCGGGACCCCGCGCCGGGTGCTTGGTGCGGCCGAGGAGGGAGGGGTCGCGGCCGAGAAGAGCCTTTTCCGGGTCCCGCGGCGGGACGCAGGGAGGTGGTGCCGCGGGAAGCCCTTCCCGGACGCCCGCGGAGTGGGAAGCGCGGCCGGGGCCCTGCCTGGGTTTCGGCGGGAGAAAGCAGGGGCTGTGGCCGGATGGAAGCCCGCGACCCGGGGCGGGGAGCCGGGCATCGCGGCGCCGCGCGGTCGTGCGTGGACAGTGCGCTCTGCCCGGTCGCCCGAGCCGTGTACCCCAGCCCGGGCGCGTGAGGTCCGCGGAGGCGCGCGGTGGACGTGAGCGAGCCGGGGTAGTTGGGGTCGGCAGTGCTGTGCGGCCGAGAGCGGCTCCCGGACGAGGTGGGCACCCCGTGAGGGCTGCTCGGCGTGGACGCGATTGCGCGTGAAACTTGCTGCTTCGGCGGCCTGCGAACTTCAGACTGTCCCACCCGCGGAGGGGACGTCTGCGTGCCGCGGCCGACAAAGTTTCTGCTTCGGAGCCCGGCGCCGTCTTGGTGTCCTCGGACTCTGTGCCTTAGGAGAATCTGTGGTGAAAGCGGCAGAGATTTCCGGGTTGTCCTGCCGGACTCCTGGGCACTGCGGGCCCTGCAGCGTGCGGGCCAGGCCGTCACCCCACCTTCAGTGCCAGCGCCTCATCCCTGCGGACACGGAGAGCCTGGGTCTGCAGGAGCAGGTCCAGAAGAACCGGTCCCAACTCAGATACACAAGGAGCCAGGGCAGAAACGACTGTTAGGTATCCGAAGATTCTGCCAGTTCTGCAGAGTTCACTGTTCCCGGGGTTTCCTGAGGGCGTCCTCACAGTGACACAGGCACAGTCGGGAACTGTGGGGACATATGTTCGAGTCCTGATGGGTCCCTCCGAGAAAATACGTCCTCTAAGTTGTGGGGCGGTGCTTTGGTTTGGTTTTGTCTAGTCTTTATGCTGAGCTGTATTCCCACCCTTTTTATTCGTACTTGGAGACAGACTCTCTCTCACCCAGTTGCCAAATGGCCCGAGCTGACTTGGATTTTTGATCCTCCTGCCTTGGCCTCCTGAAGTGCTGTGATGACAGGTGTGTGCCACCAGGTTGACTGTGGGTTTAATCCAAAGTTTATGTAGTAGTAAAATTCATGCTTTGGTGTGTAGCCAGTTTGACCAGTGCGCACGCTCCCACAGTTGCCACTACAATCAAGATGCACAAGCCTTCTGCCGCCTCCCAGATTCCCTTCCTGGTGGCCCTGTGGTCACCTCTTCATCCTCAACTTCCGTCAGCCTCTGGTCTGCCCAGGCTGCTGTTCTGACCTTCCCACAAGGCCGTTACCAACCTTGGAGTCTGCATTTGAGCTCTAGTCTTACACTGTTTAGTCCCTAAGTGAAGGAGGTGAGGGTGTAGCTCTCGAATACAGTCTGGAAGAGATGCTAAAATTGGTACTAGGAGTCGAACTCATGACCATGTACTTGCCAGGCAGGTGCTGTGCTGCTGAGCTAAATCCCTGGCCTCTAAAATGTATTTTTAAGTGAGGAGGAACTTTACAAAGTCCAGCTCATTAAAAATGTAGGCAGTATAGAATTTTGTATACTCCAAGTGATGTCCCCTTGCTGCTTAGGCTTTCCTGTTGGTGTAGTTTGGTGTGCAGTGCAGTTGTAGAGTGTACACTATCATGTGTTGTTACATAATTTTCAGTTAAAGATCTTGGAAATTTTACTTGTTGGTATATTTGCACACGTTTCCCTCCTTTTTATGAAGCCATAGGACAAGTGTGTGTCGCTAGCAACAAAGTATGTCCTGAGAAACCAGTCACTAGGCGAATCTGGACATTGGAAACCCAGAGTGGACTGAGTGCCCAGTTCGGCCTGGGGTCTGATGTATGCTGCAGGTGCTGGTTATTACTTGATCTGTCCACTGTCAAGCGACTTGTTTGTACTGTTTCTCGTCATTCTAATCAGTGCCTGTGTATCTCTGTGCACACCTTAAGTTTATCATTGCAAAGGTGAATTTGTATGTAAATAACAGCTAAATTTTCTTGTGTTGCAAGCCCCTTAGATCAGAATTACTTTTCCTGTAGAGGAGCAGATTGTGGGTGTGGGGATTGTGCAGGGGTAGAGGTCCTGACTTTGCGTCTCACCAGCACAAAAAAACCCAGTGCAGCTGGTGAAAATGTGAGGCTGTGCGGCCATCTGGTCTGAGCGCCGAAGCCTCCAAGCACCCGGGCTGTGTGACGAGGGGGCGGAGCAAACTTATTCACCGAAGGAGCGGGCCTGCTCGGGCTCCTTTCTCCCCTGTGTTCCGGCGCACAGCCCTCGGGCAGCCGCAGCCCGGTTGCTGCTCTGTGGGCCCCTGCAGCCTGCTGCTCTCCGGGTGCTGGTGTCCGCGTCGGGCGGCCGCCCACGCCGCGGGCGCGTCCCCTGGCCGCCCACGGACCTTTTCCTCCTGCGGGAAGGTGCAGCCTCTGACGTGCAGATGGAAGAACACTGAGAAGTGCGGCGCGGGGAGGCCGCTGCGCTGCCTCCTGAAGTTTCGGAACTTGAGAAACTGCTCCGAGTGCGCTGGAGCCCGGCCCCAGTTACACTTGTTGCTGCTACCGAAGCCCAGCTAGGCCCGGAGGCCACCAGAAAGGGTGGGCGAATGACGTGGAAAGCGTGCAAGCGCCCGCCCGGGTTAGTCCCTGCAACAAAGAAACGCAGGCGCAGGGCTGGGAAAGCCGCGGCCGACTGCCCCTAGCGGCGGCGCGGGAATCTGCGCGGGGAGCCCAGGAATCTGGGGAGAGCCTGGAGGGCCTGGGGCGGTGCGCAGTTAGAACGGAAGTTAAAAAGTCATTCTGGCAGCTTAAAAGTCAGCAGCCACAAGTTGAATTAAACACGCATAAGGTTCGTTATGCCCTAAACTTCAGGGTGATCAGGAAAGTAACCAGGCGGGTTTAAGTAGAGCGCTGTGGCCGTGGTCAGAACGCAGCACAGTACGGCTGTCCGCTGCCTTCACAGAGCTGGACTTCAACTCGGTTCCAGTTAAAGATGCCACTGTGATTTTTTTTTTTTAATTTTAAAGAGAAAAAAAACCCTTTCAAAGCAAGATAGTAGAAGAGTAATGACGGTTGACCATTGCAGCTTGTTACCGTTGACTTAGCTACTCAGCGTTTCCCTGTGCAAACCGTGTCACTCAGCCTCTTCAGTGAGCTGGAGAAGTCTGCGGCAGGACTGTCTTAACTAGTACAAGTGTGTTGCTTCTCCTTCTTTTCTCCTTTCCCCATCCAGCTTTTTTTCCTTTTGAACAGCTTCTTTCCATTTCACAATATCTTTTTCCCCAATCCATTTTATTCAAGTATAGAACTACAACAGAATTTCAAAGCACGTCAGTCAGGGGCCACAGCGGTTCACACACTGCACACGGTCACCCCGGATCACTCACCCAGAGCACAGGACAGCTGCACTCAATGTCCAAACAGCACTAGCACCGCACGAATCTTTCTCTTCAGTGAACTCAGAGAAATCGGTAGCTTAGCTTTTTATACACATACACATGTTTTCAGCTTGTCATACTAATGAAAAAATACAATATTTATAAGTGTGAGTCTTACTTCACTAATGAGCATAGTTTCAAGTTGCATCCAGTTACCTATAAAAGGCTCCTCTTTATCCTTCTTTATGGCTGAGCAGTACTCCATCCTGTAGAAATCCATGTCTCTTTTAGCCATCCCTCAGTCAATGGGCATATTTAGGTTATTTCCACGATCTGGCTGTTACAAGCTGTGCTGCTATAAAAAACATGGTGCACATATATCACTGCGGTATGATGTTTTTAATTTTTTTGGGAAGATAACCCAGACAGGAATAACTGGGTCAAATGGGACTTCCAATCCTAGTTTTCTTGAGGGGTCTCCACACTCATTTCCACAGTGGTTGCACCAGTCTGCACTCCCACCAGCAGTGGACAAGGGTTCCATTTCCCCCACAGCCCCTCCAGCACTTGTTATTGCTTGATTTCTTGATACTAATCATTCTTTCTGAGGTGAGGTGGAATCTCAGTGTTGTTTTAATTTGCATCTCTTGAACAACCAGTGATGTTGAACATTTTTTCACATGTTTATTTACTGTTTGTATCTCTTCGTCTGAGAAGTGTGTATTTATCTCAGATGCCTATTTTTGGATTGGATCTTTAACTCTGGGAGGACTGATTTTTTTTTTTTGTCTTCTTTATATGTTCTCAAAAGTAATCCTTTGTCTGAGGAACAGCTGGCAAACATTTTATGGGTTGTCTCTTCACTGTTGGTTATTTCTCTTGCTGTACAAAAGCTTTTCAGTAGGGTGAGATCCCAGTTGTTGATTTTTTATAATAGTTCTGTGTAATTGGGTTTGTTCATAAAGTCTTTGCCTACACCAATATCTTAGAGAGTTTTACCTGCTCTATGTTCCAGCAGAGTTAATGTTTCTGTTTCAATATTAAGATCTTCTGACTGTAGCTTAGTG